CTGAAATTCAATTGGTTTGCGCCACGATAAAGTCATGTGACCGGAAAATTTTTTGTGGTATAATTACATAGGTTTTTAATTTGATCACTAGACAAGGGTCTACATCGCAGTTAAAATTTGCTTCACTTTAGCCTGTGATACTAGTTAGTTATGATATATAAATTAAGCTACGATTATGTATTATATTATCATTATACCATATTTGCGCGTAATAACGCGTACCTGCGCGTTATTTCGGGACGCACATACGCGGTAATTCGAATCATTTTGACAAATTTGGGTTACAGGCAGAAGTCCTACCTTTATTAATGAACTTAGCCTGAAAAATTCGATCAATAGTATATTTAAAGAGCGCGTTATCTTGAGTCAAAAAAATGGAGTTTCGAAATAACGCGCATGTGCGTTATTACGCGTAAATACGATAATGGCACATACACAAGATCATGTGCCGTATTTTAAAGCGGTAAGCCATAGCTAATTGCTTTAATATGGTAGGTCCCAATGTTTTGAATTTCGCGTGCACCTGTAGCGTTTCTATAGAGAATATAATTGGTGATTAATTTAAATAGTGAAAGTAGAGATGTGCATCTCGCTCGAAATGCACATCTCTAAGTGAAAATAAAGATCATTAGGTGACAAGCATAAAGCCAATTTCATAATATATACAGTATTTAATTCATTCTATTCATATTAATTTAGACAATGAGTATGTGGATTGTTTGTTGCTGCATTCAAAGCATTTATAACGAGCTATTGAAGAACATTTATTAATTATTTAACTTAAGCTTTTTCAAGTCCATATCAATTTAAAATAAATATAAAAATTTATATAAAAAAGTTAGAATCGTTCTAAATTTTATATTCTCTTGTATACGGCCTTATTTTTTCCCATGAATGTGTGAGATCGAGATAGTTTTTATCCAATGACGAAAAAAGATGATCCATCAGTACTTTTTAGCTACCTGACTTCGCAAGAAGGTTGCTGAGGTTCATAAAATTAAAGAGAATACAGTTGTACATGTGGTTGTTAAACATGATAAACAAAAATGAAAGATCTCCATCACCTAAAGTTCAAGGCCGACCAAAAAAAATTTGATCACAGTATTGTTAAACAAAATTCTGAAATTGAAAAGTTGATAATTAATAAAAATTTTTTAAAATTTCAATAAAATTTATATTGAATAATATGAGTGCCGTCAAGGAAAAACCAGGGAATATGTCCGGAACAAAATATAATTGAAGCCTGATGACAGGTTTTCCCTTGACGGCACTCATATTAATTTTTTTTAAAAAAGTCTTTTACTATAAACATACTGGTGTATACTTTTTTTCAATCCAGGTTACGCATTTACGAGGGTTCAATTTTATTTAGATTGAGATATAAAGAACACTAAATATATGTTTTACTATTTAATTTATCTAATTTCATTTTAGATTATAAGTACATATAAAGAAGGTTTATTTTATATTTAAGCAGCAAATACATTGATATTGACCCATTTTTGATCGTCGTTATTGACCCACAATAAAATCAGTACCCATTAAAAAATTCTGATCCATCTTTAATGAAATTTGTAATAACGCATCCATGAGTTTTTAACACTTTCACTCATTGAACCTTCTTTAATCGAAATGAAGCAAAAGTTGAAATTGATGTTGATGTGAGTTGAAAGAGCCAAAGAAGCTCATGTAGTTACGTTACTATTGCAGAAGTATCATTATTAAATCCATTATTACCTTCAGTTTAGAAACGAAGAACTTCAACAATTACTGTAGGAGCTGCGAACTAATTCTACTGTATAAAAAGGGTAAGTCTAAACAAACAATATAGTAATGTTGAATTAGTTAATAACTGTAAATGGGTTAAAACAGAGTAAATTATTATTGCTCGATCAAAGAACTTATCAATTGTTACGTAGGAATCACGTAGGAATCACATATGGGAAGTAGGTCTCACAGGCATTATACATAGCATACTCATACATGGATATACAAGCACTTGCTTCTCTGGGTCACGACCTAAATTCTGGTCGTTTTCTTCATCAAGTTGTAGATGGATATGCAAGCACTTGGTTCGACCTAAATACTGGTCGTTTTCTTATCAAGTTGT